TTTTTTGAAATTGCCAAATTTGTGCCAAATGATGGAGGGTGTTCGGCCGGGCCGAACTTACAGCTTTTTTACTTGTTTTACGTGAATTTGTCTAAAAATTAATATTTGTAGTTCGTAATGGGTTTTAGACTCCGGTGGCGAAAAATAGTATACAGGTTGAGATGAAAAAACTGCAACCAATTTCAGACAGAAGCATTTTGTCGAGAATTTTCCAGAAAAAAGTTTTTTTGTGATGGAATTCACGTGTAATAGTGTGATTTCTTTATATTTAGCTGGAAAACCACAAGTGGCTATCGTTAGGGCACTCCAGCATTTAAATGTGAATAAATATTTTGTGTCTCGTATCATCGCTCGTTACCGTGATACTGGTAGCGTAGCCCGACGTCAAGGAAGTGGACCGCAGAAATGGTACGAAAAGTAAAGAAGCGACAGACAAGCAACAGAAAGAAAATAGACTCAAAAGAGCTAAAGAGTTGCTTCGCTTGGCCGAAAGTGGTTAACTGCCGAATTTGGTTTTCTCCGATGAGAAAACATTCATTGTCTAGCAGTTTGTAAACATACAAAATGATCGAGTTTTCTTGCTAAAGAGGTCAGCTGAAAATGTGCACCTTCGGTTGGCCATCGGAACTCAAGCGCCGGCCATGGTGATGGTGTGGGTCGCCATAACAGCCGATGGTTGCTCTCCGCTCGTATTCATCGACCGTGGCATCAGAATAAATGCCGAATATTATCGCGAAAATATTTTGGAGGGTGTATTAAAGCCTTGGGCACGCAAACATTTTGGCCGCAGACCTTGGACATTCCAACAGGACAGGACAGCACCATCGCTCTCAGCATGCGCCACCCAAGAATGGATACAAAATGAGGTTCTCGCTTCATTCCCAGCTCACAATGGCCACCAACATCTCCGGATACCAATCCATTGGACTATTGTGTCTGGAGTATTTTGGAAAGCAAGTTTGGCACTAAAAAATACAAAAGTGTGGATCACCTCAAGCAAGCGCTTCGCCGGGTACCTGCCCCACAAAAAAAAAATATTTGCATAAACTTGTAAGTAAATGTTCTGTAAGTTTTTCTTATCCCAATATTTTTATCCGTATGTACGAACATTTCTACATCTTCCAAAAATTATTACATATGTCATGTAAATTTGAATGAAGTCTTCGATATAGTTCAAATCTGGCAAATTAAAATCGGACTTAGGTCTAATATTAATGGACAACATTGAGCCACACCTTTGGGACCTCCACCATAAAGGATCAACAGTTTGAATAATCATAACACAAACCAAAATATATTTAAATAGACGAACAGTGGTTGAGGGTACACATTAGTCGAAAACCCCAACTGATACATTTTAACTTGTTTTATTAGTCACAGGACACAAGTTTTGCATACATTTCGAAGGAAGAAATTTTTCTTTTTAACTTTTGAAAGTTGGACGTTTTTGGTAAACAAATCTGTTAGCATGAATTACCTTGCATAATTTTGGCAAATGTTTTAGGCTAAAAAATACATTTTTATATATACTCTGCCATGCTAGACAATCTATGGTCCACGTGGAAAAAACAACATCTGGCACCTATCTTCGTTGTAAATATGAGCCCCAGGAACATGTGTGCGTGTGAATGTGCTTGAGAATCAGTGATGATAAACTTTCATTTTCAATATCCCTTTTCTGTTGTATGGTGATAAAAGCACGGGTATATTCAATCACCACAACCACTCGATATAGTGGCGTATACTTTTTAAATAAATGATAATTATGTATACGCCCATCTATGCACCGATTACATTTGATGAAATTGTATGCTTTTGTGGGATCAATTAAAGGGAGGGTATAATAAATTTGTTGTCCCGTATGTAATATCTTGAAATACTCATAAGGGACTCCATAATATGCGTATATTAATGATCAGCGTTAAATTTTATGTCGATTTAGCCATATCCGACGGTCCGTTCGAGTATTGAAATCAGGCATACATGTTTGTTGAAGGATTTGTTTCAATTTCTCAACAAAATCAGCTGTAATTTAGTTCCCAATGGGTAGTAACTCATTGCAAAAAAATATTCAATGTATGTCCACTTCGTGCCATTTGTTCTGCACTAAAGGGTATCTGCAGATTTTCTCTATTTTGAAAATTTGGCCCAAAAATCGAAATATAGTTGACAATATTTCGTTAAAAGTATCGAAAAATATGCAGCTTATGTCAATATGTGGCCCGATAGAGAAAGACTTTCTTATGGCTAAGGACTTAAAATGCCAAACTAAAAACAATTAAATTGGCTGTTGGTCATTTGTTTTAAGAAACTTTTCGACGAATATTAATGTAATAATGTCCAGGAAAAATGGAAGTTTCGTAATTCAGAGCAGTGATTTCTTGGCATTCTTTATGCACTCACCAAATTATTACGTAATCGAGTAGACGATCGTTTGAGTAATCGACTGAGAACATGCGGACAAAAACATGAAGGATTAATAAAAGAGCGTCATTAAATATTAAAAAATAAAATTAATGTTGTAATATTTTTTAGGAAAAAAATGAACAAACAAGAAAAAAGCAGTAAGTTCGGCCGGGCGGAACTTTGAATACCCTCCTCCATTTGGAAAGAGTTAGGCAATTAAAAGAAATTCTGTTAAAATCTTCAAAATACCGAATGTAGCTGTTATAATAGGATCTATACGACGACATGGACCTGCATACGTAACTTTTCTTCTAAGCCATTACAATATTCAAATGCGAAATTTAAAAAAAAATCCGGTAAATAATGTAGTTAAAATCATCAAAATACCGAATATCGGGAGGAACAGTTATATGGAGTCTATATGAAAACTTGGGCTTATAAACGGAATGACAACGTTAATATACCCTCTATAGTATGGTGGAGGGTATAAAAACTGCAACCAACTTCAGACTGCTGTCATTTCTAAGCCAATCGTCCGACAGCTGTTAAAATTATTCCAGTGACAGCTCATTATATTTTTTACAAGCGTACAAAAGCATTTTTGGTGAGAATTTTCCAGAAAAAAAAGTTATTGGTGATGGAATTCAAGCGCGATAGTGTGATTTCTTTATAATTGGGTGGAAAACCACAAATAGCTTTCGTTGGAACACTCCAGTATTTAAATGTGAATAAATCTATTTTGTCTCGTACCGTTAAATGGTTCGTGAGCTGAATATATCGCAACATTCCATTCGGCAAATATTGAAAAATGAGCTCAGGGTAAAGCCAATGTAATTCCAAAAAGTGCAAGTACTTACACCGCAAGGGAAAGAAAATAGACTCAAATAGCTTCGCTTGACCGAAAATGGTGAAATGCCGAATTTGGTTTTCTCCCATGAGAAAACATTCGTTGTCCATCAGTTTGTAAACAAACAAAATGATCGTTTTTATTTGCCAAAGAGGTCAGCTGAAAATGTGCCCCTTCGGTTTGCCACTAGAACTTAAGCGCCGGCCATGGTGATGGTGTGGGCCGCCATAACAGCCGTATTAATGGACCGTGGCATCAGAAAAAATGCCGAATATTATCGCGAAAATATTTTGGAGGGCGTATTAATGCCTTGGGCACGCAAACATTTTGGCCGCAGAACTTGGACATTCCAACAGGACTCAGCCCCATCGCAATCAGCACACAAGAATGGTTACAAAATGAGGTTCCTCGCTTCATTTCCAGCGCACAATGCCCATCAAAATCTCCGGATACCAATCCGTTGGACTATTGTGTCTGGAGTATTTTGGAAAGCAAGGTTGGCACTAAAAAATAATAAAGTGTCGATCACATCAAGCAAGCGCTTCGCCGGGAATGGGCCAAAATACCGCAGAGCAACATTCGGGCAGCGTGTGACGGTTTCATTACCTGTTTGAAGGCCATACATCGAGGCAAAGGTGACCAATTGGAACAAATTTTTTGCGTTTATTCAATAAAATTAAAAAAAAACTGTAAAATTGTGGTGTTTGACTTTGTTGCAGTTTCTTTTATCTCACCCTTTATATTTGATGAAATGTACTTTTGCTCATAATCACGCTTTTCTCTCAGCAAATAACAACCAGGCGCGAAGAAATATGAACTGCGGAATATATATCCAGCATTTTTATTTTTAAATTATTTTACGTGCTGACACATTTGTTTTTGTTTTTAGATGCTTCTGTTAATTTTGTTATTTAATAACAACAAAATATTGTGACACTTTTTCGATCAACGTTTTTGTTGGCTTATTTCCAATTGCTTTCAAGAGCCATTTCTAGAGGGGATTTTTAAAATATATTTTGATATATGTACATACATAAACATGACGGGACTTTACGTAGATAAATTATTATTATAATCAACAATGAAAATAGTTTATTAACAACCAACATCAAATAAATATCATAGGAGATTAATAAAATTACTTACGTCTGAAGGAAAGTATTTTTGAGCGCTGAGATAAGAACATTTAACCCAAAATTCTGGAGCAAAGTGGACAATAAAATTCGTTCCCCTCTTGTAACTTCACCCCAAAGGCTTAATATTTTAATTTATAAGAGCTTTGCTTTTCAAAATACGCTATTATTTCAAGGCTGTCGGCAAAACGTTTACACAGCAAAAATTTCCATTACGAAATAATGGGTTTGCTAACCGAATTTAGGCAATCGTAAGTACTTAAAAATCAACGTACTCACCCATCTAAATTTGAAGTCGAATTGAAATTCCAAATCGAATTGATTTTTTTAACTCAAATCGAACTCCTCAAAATCAAAAACACCTCTCGCCTTAGAACATTTTCCTCGCAATAGTACTTTTCATCTCTGATGAAAATATTACAGGCATAGTTTGGGTACATCTATGTGTGTGTGTGTGTGTGTACAACGAGCACACCCCCAAATACCAACACAGACACATCTGTTCAGTCCTCTTCGCAATTACAGCATCACTTTTACCCGACATCAGCTATTGGTGTTGATGGGGAGAATTTTCTCTAGGTTTTGTGACATTTGCTGTTTTAACTTTTAGTGTCGTAGCAAAAATCGCACAGAACGGTTCGTTGCACAAAGATAGCGGAATAAAATAAATAATTTTTAGAAAAAGTATTCTCACACAAAATTTAAACATAATTTGTGAAAATAAAATGTAAGAAATTTTTAAATTTAAATAAAAGATTATACAAATAAAAATATATTTCAATTTCTGTTGAGAAATAAGCTGATGCGTTTCTTATATCACGCTATTAACACTTGTTGTTTAGTGAACAAAAAAGACATGAGAGTATCTGAATTGTGTGCGTGTATGCGTTTATGCTAATTCATATGCAAAACGTATGGACATTTTTTATGTACCTATTTCGCGGTTGATGACATTTTCTAATTGTCCTTTGAAGTTTTTGTTGTCGCTGTTGTCGTTTTGCAGTAATTTATTTGAGTGCAATTGAATATGCTCTGGACCATAAACTTTAAAAGTCATTTTAGTTAATGGTTTTATATTTTGAAGTGGTCATTATAATGACATTTCATAAAGAAGAGTACAACTAAAATTGGAGCAGAAGAAAGCAGAAGCACCATCACAACTAAATATTATCACTTAAGACATCCTTTGGATAACGAGAGTAGTAAGACAGTTGTTGCAACAACAATACACTTGTTGAAGAGCAAAACTGTATTATTTATAGTATTGCTCATACCCATACACACACACACACACCTATAAAAGTCATCACGTATTAAATATTTGTATGAGTATGTATTGGTATGCAATAACCCTAAGAAATGAATGCCGACGATGCCAAGACATGGCGACAGGTGGTTGTTTTATCTTTTATGTGTCTTATTCTTGTTTGAGTGTGAGTGTTCGAGTTGTATGTCGTCGTCGTTCACCAGCTCTTTGAAGGATCCCAAAGAGGCTGTTGATTGCTAATTGTTTTGAGAAGTGTGCTTAAGAACTTGTAATTGAACGATTACGGCAATGTAATATACATATATATGTTCATAAATTAATGTATTTTGAATGGGTTGGTATGTGTATATGTACATAGATAAGGAAATTATAATTTGATAAGACCTTTTTAACTGCTATTGCATATTTCAAAATTAACTTTTGAGGGATTTTCATTTTATGAACAAAAATTATAATATAAATTCAATAATAGGTTTTTATATATATAGAGGGGTACATCATTTGATACGCCAAAATTCGACTTATCGAAATAGCGGTTATTGACCTTAGGATACTTATAGTCAATCTAGCTATGTCCATCTGTTTATATAGTCGGCCTGGTATTTACTATTTTGTCGAAGGGAGTATACTTGATTAATCGTAATACTTTTACCAAACTTAGGTCAAGTTTGCAGATGGACAGCAACAGACCACTCCTTCTGGTACTTCCTTTCTACAAAAAATATGTTCACACTGTGAACACTTATGGTCAATTATTTTCGGTGAATAATGTAGCTTGAATCACCAATATACCGTAAATAGGCAGGTACCATTATATGGGGGCTATACCAAAACGTGGGTCTACATGACCCATTTTCAATACCAAAAGTCCTGCAGATATAATAGATATTTGAGTAAAATTTTATCAACATACTTTACTTCTACGGCCAATGAAACCGTCACCCGCTGCCCGAATGTTGGTCTGCGACATTTTGGCCCATTCCCGGCGAAGCGCTTGCTTGAGGTGACACTTTGGTATTTTTTAGTGCCAACCTTGCTTTCCAAAATACTCCAGGCACAATAGTTCAACGGATTGGTATCCGGAGATTTTGGTGGTCATTGTGCGCTGGAAATGAAGCGAGGAACCTCTTTTTGTAACCATTCTTGGGTGGCGCCTGCTGAGTGCGATGGTGCTGAGTCCAGTTGTAATGTCCAAGGTCTGCGGCCAAAATGTTTGCGTGCCCAAGACTTTAATACACCCTCCAGAATAATATGCGGCATTTATTCTGATGCCACGGTCGATTAATTCGAGCGGAGAGTGACCATATGGCGACCCACGCCATCACCATGGCCGGCGCTTGAGTTCTGGTGGCCAACCGAAGGTGCACATCTTCAGCTAACCTCTTTGGCAAGTAAACACGATCATTTTGTTTGTTTATAAACTGCTGGACAACGAATGTTTTCTCGTCGGAGAAAACCAAATTCGGCAGTTCACCACTTACGGCCAAACGAAGCAACTCTTTAGATCTTTTGAGTCTATTTTCTCTCTGCTGCGGTGTAAGTTCTTGTACTTTTTTGAAATTTCAATGGCTTTACCCCGAGCTTATTATTCAATATTTGCAGAATGGAATATTGCGATATGTTCAGCTCACGAGTCATTTTTCGGCCACTGCGACGCGGGCTTTGATCAAGTCGCTCCTTTACATTTCGAACTATTTCTGCTGATGTTGCTGTCTTCTTGTGTCCACTTCCTTGACGTCGAGCTATGCTACCAGTATCACGGTAAGGAGCGATGGTACGAGACACAAAATATTTATTCACATTTAAATGCTGGAGTGCTCTCACGATTGTGGGTTTCCAGCCAAATATAAGGAAATCACACTATCACGCTTGAATTTCTTCACGAATAAGTTTTTTTCTGGGAAATTCTCACTAAAATGCTTTTGTTAACAATATAATGAGCTGTCACTGGAACATGACAGCAGTCTGAAGTTGCTTGCAGTTTTTTCATCTTACGCTCAACTTTCCTAATGATGAAGGGTATTTAAAATTCAGCTCGGTCGAATAAAACATTTTTTTATTTTTTTTTTTATAATCATCTCTGTATAAAATATAGAAAAATTAATATTTTAACTTAATTGTTAGTTCAACAAAAATATACAAAATTAACAAAAACGATGTATTGATGCTATTATTAATTTAATCAATATAATGTCAACAACGACTGAAAAAGCATAACCGCGCGCCATTTTCAAATCACGTGCGAGTGCCATAAACCTGTCTTTTTTCGTTCACATTTAGATGATCGTTGCAATATCACATTGTTTTTTAAGCCATACCAAGTTTAATTAGAACTTTAACAATATCTCTTGCCTCAATTGATTTCTTATAAATCTTTTCTAAGCCTGAGGAATGTCTGTGACAAATGAAAAGATTTCCTAAAAAGACGAATTTTTAAGACGGCCCTCGGAAATTAATTGTATATCATCGCCAGTTTTATCGGACATCTCTAATTGTATACTTTAAGTTAAAATTGACAACGATGAGAAAAATCTCCCCAAACAACAAAAGAAACAGCCGAATATGTAAATCAGATTAATTTCAAAAAAGTATGTAATTCTGGCCATGTTCATAACTATGTTTATGGAGTCATTGTCTGTCTGGAAAATTGATTTAATTGCCAAATCCCTCTACACTATGCCATACTTCTAAAGAGCTTTTGCCAAATGCTCAAACGTCGACGGCAACAACAACAGCAACACTGTATCATCATTATTATTATCATTATTATTGTTATTAATTGACTAATTTATTAGGCAATTCTATTTCATTTTCTGTGTTGTTTGCTTTCCAAATCGCTTGTTTACAAACACAAACCATTATTAATTGGTTTCTAACATTCGGGCAATAATTCTTATACAATTTACAATAAATGTCGGACATTATGGAGGATAGAGTGAGATATGGATGTATGGCCTGCAATGTGGAATAAGAGGCATATGATGCTGTGCCGTCTTCGGCTGCTGACCAACGGCCTAAAATGTAACGATAATTGATTTAAACGACATTTTTCTATTTGTCCACATGTCGGCCACCATCCTTTCATATGTTAATTGAGGTGAGGTGGAAGTGATGCGGTGGCCGAGTGTTAATTGTATTTTTATTACATGACATAAATTAAATTCGTCGCATGGGAAATTGTTTTTTTTTTTTCAAGAAATGGAACAGTTTATATATTTGTGGAAAGTGGAAAAGCATTTCAATAAGCGGAGGTGAAAATTCACTTGATTTAGATTAAAATTGTCATATCCATTACTTATACTTCAAATAAATCCTCTTAAAGTAAGTTAACCCTACAATAAGCTCTAACATAAACATGACATTAGATATAAGGGTGTAGGATTAGACATTGTTTGCTTTTATACCGACCAACAAGTAAAAAGCATTGAGTTCGCCGGGCCGAACTTCAAATACCCTCCACCATGTGGTAAAGAAAACATTTTTATACAAAAGTATCTGGATTTAAATGTTGTCCACTTTAAACTAAAAACTCCAGTAAGATCGGTAGGAAAATGGTTGGAGCCGTTATATGGGGCTATTCTAGAACGGGAGTCTATATATATAATTTTATACTACAACGATTGTAATCTATTGCGAGTCTTAAATACCAAATTTTACATAATTTCGTGGATAAATGTGACCAGTACCAATATGGACGTTTGGACGCCGTTTGTAGAACCCATTACGAAATACCAAATTACACACAAATCTATTAGAAAATATGGCTTAAATCGTCAAAATGCCGAATATTCAATGGAACCGTTATATGTGCGCTATAGGAAAACGTAGACCTAGATATTCAATTTTCTGCCACCGGATCTAGAACCCAAATCCAAACCCAATCCGTAGAAAAATGTGGCTAAAACCATCAAAATACCGAATATTGGGAGGTATCGTTAAACGGGGGCTGTACGAAAACGTGCACCTATATGTACAATGTTCCTCCATGGGAGCTAGAACCCATTACGAACTACAAATAGCAAAATTGAAACAATTCCGGTGAATAATGTCGCTAAAAACATCAAAATACCGAATATCGGGAGGTGCCGTTATATGGGGGTTATAACATGGCCCGTTTTCAATACCAAAAGTCCTGCAGATATAATATAGATTTGAGTAAAATTGTATCAACCTACATCATTTCGTTCGGAAGCTAGAGTGATTCCCATAGACGGACAGACCGACGGACATCGCTAAATCGACATAGAATGGGTGATATTAGCCATTTGGTGCACAATAAACCTTATATCGGATAAAGATATTGTGGGAGCTGTATCCTAATCTGAACCTGTCTCCATAAAATTAGGTTGAGGTATTTCCAAGTAGTATCTGATGTCCGGTACCAAATATCATTCTTGCGGAGTGCATGTTACGCATATGAGGGACTTAAACCCCCAAATCGGATGAAACATATATATGGG